TTGAGCATCAAAAAACAAAAGAATTTTTTTTCTGGTAAGAACAGAATGTGTGTCTTCCAGTATGTAGAAGTTTTCTAGGATGGCAAGTATTTTAGATTGAAAATATAGGAATACTGTTATATCGTTATAACACGAGAAAGAGTATATCTGTATAATTTGAAATTAAAAGCATTGTGCCCATTAATTAAGAAGTTTTCAACTAACTTGATATATCTTCTTCATTTGAGAGTTATTTCAAATATCAACATCATCTTCGATAATGTCTGTATCATTTATCAAACATTGATTTTTATTCGAATTTTTATTTATTAAATCACCTGTTGATGAAGTGGTGGATGTTGGCAGTGGAAGTGTGGATGATATATCAGTTGTGTTTATTCGACATATTCGTTTTACTTTTGCACGATGATTTTTAAACCAAAGTCGAATATGTTTCGATTCTAATTTTGGAAATTTTGTACGATAATCACCTTCATTTAATTCATGACATATACGTTCGATTAATATATGATCAGGATGTGTTTCAATAGAAAACCATTGTTCTAATTTTGGTACTTCTGAAGCGGGATCAATAAATATACGATTACGTCGACATCGTCCATATTCATAGGATGGACTTGCTGTTGTTTTATGACTAGGATTTGTTGTGGTACCCACGGACGTAGGTGTCGTGGACGGAGAATGTGTGATGGCATTTTTCAGTGAACCATTTTGTGGATAATTGAATAAATATTGATGATTGTTGTTCGTATTCAATGAAGATGATGTAGGCGGAAGATGGAATGTAAAATTTGAAGGTGAATGTGCGACATTGTGTGGCAATGGTAACTGTTTAATTGGATCTAATTGTTTTCTTTCTTGTTGTGAATCACAACTTGAAGAGTGTTCTCTATCATCGTCATCTTCATCTAAAAACTCTTCATCATCTGTACCATCCTGATCATATTTTGATCCACGTTGCTGTTGAGTCGTATCACCATCTGTTAGAGAAATATCGAATGCTTGAAGATAATGTAAATAATTGGGTTCATCCCTGATACAATTAACTTGTGTTGACTCTTTTTTGAACAATACTGATGGTTTATTGTTTAGTACTAGAGGCTGTTGTTGGGAATTACTTCCATTTAAATTTGTCGTTTGTTGTTCGGGTGTAATACAGAATTGTTTTCTTACATATGAATCAGTTTGACTTAACCATTTTATCGAATGTTTTTGTAGTTGAGGCTCTACCGTTTGGTCTTTTTGAACGTCCGAATTTGTATCATTTTCATTGAAACTAGAATCACTTTTATTGTCTTCATGAAAATCGGGATCTTCATCGATAATAAATTTTGTTTCATCCAATTCTTCCGGTGATAATTCATCCATCTCGTGATCATCAATATCGTCATCGTCTCCATCGGGTTTTTTTAAATCAATGCCAGACAAATGAAAATTATGATCATCATTATTGTTACAATCTGAAAATTGATCGCCAAATCGACGTTTTTTACGTTTAAGTGCAGCACGAGCATTTTTAAACCAATACTGAATATTATACGGTTCCAATGGTTTTTTTCCTAAAATAAAAAACATTTCAATTTCTATTCAATTATATTTAATGTTATTATCTATTTTACCTTTTCTACATGGAAGTGCGTTTAAACTTTCACATATTGACGCTATTTGATATCGTGTGGGATGTTTTGTATCGGAAAATATTTGTAATAAACGTGGCGTTTCTTCTGTAGGATCAAATGTTGTACGTTCTCGTTGACGTCTATTATAAGCATAGTCTTTTACCGATGATGATGAGAAATGTTGTCGATCTGCTAAGTCAGCATTTAAAACATTATTATTTCCTGTTGCTGTTTCTGATGATAAAAGGTAATTAGATGAGAGAAAACCGGATGGCGTTGTTGTAAGAAGATTGACAAATGTATTTAAAGAAGCAGATGACGGTGAACTTGAAGTTTTTGTAAGAGGATGTTGTTGTTTTGATGTGGATGATATCCGTTGTTCTCGATCTTTCGATATTGACGATAAATAGGAACTTTTATCTACTTGATGACGATGATTATTATGTGGTTTATTAGTCATACGTTTAGTGGTAGAATTGTATTGTTTTTTAGACAAATTCAATGGAAGATTATCGCCATTAGGCGAATCTCTAAAAGAATTAAAAAAATCGCAATTAGACGTATCCTAGATGGTTTTTACAATAATGTGTTAAGAATATTTACCCATCATTTGATGTCGATGTTGTGCAATCGGGACTATTTCGAGTTAAACATGGATTATTAATTGTTGTTGGAGAACATTCACTTTTGTGATTATTACTGGTAGCAAGAGGGATAATTCGTGCTTGTTCTTCTTCTTTAATTACTTGACATAATTTATTGACAAACTAAAAATGAAAAAAAAATTCAATAAAAAACAAAATATATTCTCATTTTTCATTTATATCCGTAAAGTTTTTTTTACTTCATTTTTTTCATTTTCATCTACATTTGATGAATTACTACACAGCAATTGTACTAATTGACGCAACAATTTCATGGACTTTTTCTCATGATATAATTCACGGATATCGGGATTTGAATATCTAAAAATATGAATAAAAAATTGATTGATTTTAATATAGAAATGTTTTGTTTTTAAATCAAATACACACTTTGATATTTTTATTTTTAAAACTGCTATATTCATCAAATCTCCCAGAATATCTTGTACCGTGACCGATTTATTCTCTGTTACCGTTGCAATTGGCAATGGATTCCAATTTTTAATCAAAATTTGACCTAAAAAAAGATTATAACAAATAAAAATGTGTATGGGAATAATTAAGACTATTGTTGGTTTGTATTCATCTACCTTCTACAAAATCTTCTTTATCAATTTTTCCAATATCACCTTCCATTGTTTTCAAAACAACTGTCACAATATCACGAAATTTTGTTTGAGCGGGTACAATAACAAACCCATCTTGTAAGACATTTTTGACATCATCTTTCTCAACAATAGTATGCACCGGTAAATATTTGTTACTTAACGCCAGACCTAAAATAGATAAATATTTAAAAAAAGAAATCGTTACTTTACAGTGATTATTCTATAGATTTAAAAATTAGAAAGTATTCGATCTAACTCGGAATGTACAATCTTAGATTTGACTTCTTCTATCTCTAGAAAAAGAGTGTATAGAGTAAACATTTTTCCAGTAAATGAGAGATGGCTGAATGTTCTATTTTTACAAGTTTATGACAAGTTTTTTTTCCTCCTAAATGAGTACAGAATTTCAAGCAAAAACATTATACAAAGTTCGCCAATACAAGAAAATATGTACGCTGTATTTCTAGCAACTCAAAAGACTTTCACATAGTCTAACCATCAGAGATTCTCAATAAAGTGAATAAGATTTAAAATAGATTCGTAACATCTCGTTATTTATCACGCACACAATGTATCATCAATGAATACTGTATTAGTTGAAAGAAAATCAAAATGATGTTAGATATCACGGTGAACACGTGTTTGTATTTATATTGAATGATTAACAATAAATTGATTGTCTATTCCATTATATTTCGCATGTATGGGTATTATACAAAAAACAAAAAAACTGTCAAGTCAATCGTCATACTAATTTTTTGTAAATAGAAGCGCCTCTTTCTCTCTCTCTCTCTCTATTGATTATTTCGTTTTTTTGATATTCATTTAATATTTGTATTTAAAATTTATTGAAGGAGAAAAATCGACAGAAAACAATTGTCTCTATATCTTAGATTAAAATTGTATTAATATCTCTTTTCTAATTAGAAAGCAATTATCCATTATTGTTGATCAAGCACAATTACAATAAATGAAAATGAAAAACATGAACGATTATTGAAACACTAAATCTTGTTCAAAAATAAATGAGGGAAAAAAAACCAAAATTCAAAAGTCAAAATTAACTGACCTATTTGATCTATCTACATAATTTTCAAGAGAAAAAAATCATAATATATGTAAATAAATCATTGAATGCTGACAAAAAATACCTTTAATGTGTGTATATGTGTAAAAAATTCTCTAACCTGCTGATAATTTATCCAAACGTCTCGATAGCATCATCGTTCTTGTACAATAATGATTAAAAATTGACAGAAATGAAAAGGTAATAAATTAAAAGACAATTCGGTTATTGATTGATTCATCATTTCAAATGAAAAAAGAAAAAAAGTCATGTGGTAGAGTAATAAATAAAATGATATTTATTGAATGAACATCATTTTTATTTCAATTAACAAATCCTTATTTCTTGGTTAAAACACAGAAGAATATACAAGAGCGGTATATTTCATTTTTTTGTTAGGTAATTGATATTTTGAGTGATGTATTTCACGTTTATACAAGCGAAAAAACACTCAAAGACGTGTATTAATATCAATAATAATAAAAAGAGAGAAATATTACTAAAAGTAAACCTTTCTTTTTTTTCCAATCACTTTCTCATCTTTATCATTATCGTCATCATTATCACTCATTTAGTAAATATTTATGTCAATATGTATCATTTCGTAACACCATTTCGATTGATATATATGTATGTATTGTCTACTAAATAACGCTTATTTTTTAGACACAAGATTTTCAATTTTACTGAACCGAAACCAAGCTTGTTTCTTCTTCTTGTTCTTCTTTATTGCGCAAAAAACCTTCAATAACGCTACCAATATTTCTTCTTCCTTTTTCTGATGATAATTTCTACCAATATATACATATAGAAATATTTTATTTGAAGTGATTATTACGAATAAGATATCAATCATCGCCTTACAAATTCCTTTACGTTGTGTTTGCTTGCATTAGGTAACTTAGCCAAGCGTAAAAAGGTAGGGTAAAAAATAAAATAAAGATATCAATATTTGTAGACATATAATAATGAAATATATGCCGGATAAATAATAAAAAAAGAAGAAGAAGAAGAAAGAAAAATCTAATAGATATGTTATCCATAAATTTTGTTCATTGGTTATACGATATTCAATATTCATCCAATAAAACCCCTTTCTTTTCCACATTCTTTCGCGTATTATTAGTAAGAACAACATGAGTTATTTATTATTAACACTGAATAAAATGATGTAAAACTGTACTCAAATTTCAATTCTAAAATATAGTTTATCTCTAGTTTTGAGTATATTGATTGTTTTCAAATGTTTTTAAAATGTATATTGAATATTATTATATAGAGAAATTTTAAGTTTAAATTATTCGTATAGAAATTGATTAATTTACATCATATAATGTATGATTTAAAAGTTAGTTAATATAAAAAAAAAAATGTTAAAAAGAAGAATTAGAAGATGAAAAATGTTCAATTTCAACATAAAATCAATATGTCTACCTTAGAAGTATAAAATTGAATCTCTACTTATCATTCATGTCAACAATCTAAATCAATAAACATTATGTACATAATACAATATAGCAAGCATACTGACATTCAAGGAAAATAATGTATTTAAATAAGTGACTACTTTTTTTTTTCTTCTTCTTCTTCTTCTTCTCCCGTGTAACGATACATTTATTTTATTGGGAATGTTATTCAGACAGCGAAGAAAGAAAAGATTATGTGTTTTTTCTTCTTCTGTACGACAGTAATCGATCATGTTCTTTAGAAAATTCTTATAAAAAAGAAGAAAAAAAAAAACAAACGAAGAAAAACTCTCATTTTTCAAAAACTTTAGTAGTTTTATTTTTTTCTAAACGAATATACTTAAAATGTCCAAAAAAAATAAAAGTATAGGAATAAGATTGTATTGATCATATTTTCAAACTGATAAGCATTTTATTCATTTTATTTTATTTTTATAATCATAACAGTGTGATCAGTCTTCTTCACAAGTATCTAAACTAACTGGATGAATTTCATTTTTTTTTCTTCTCTTATCATTATTTCAGTTTTGTCTTCTTCGTATTGTACATCATTCTTCTTCATTTTATCCCATGATTAGAATATACTGTTGTTCATATAACATAACAACGAGTATGATATCAAATTACTTAACGCTTCAACTCATTTTTAAATGATGAGCAACTGTTTGTGATAATCAGTAACGAACTATCGTCTTTTTTTCATAAAAAAAAAAAAAAACTTTTTTTTTCTTCTGCAATATGTATTGTTATTATTACTTTCTCATTCATTGCATATATTATATACATCATATATGTGTTTTGTCTCTTCGTTCAATATAAAATAGCTAACACCCAATAAAAATTGAGTGCGCGATATTATACCTATTGTATTAGGCGTGTGAAAAAAAGAAGCAGAGAGAGAGAGAGAGAGAGAGAGAGAGAGAAGAAACGAAGAGATGTGAAGCAATGAATTAATATCGATATTTTTGCTTTGCCGTAGGAATAAAAAAAAAAACTTTATCTTTCAATTGTACTCTTGAGGCTCTATGTCTCTTTAAACAATAAAATTGTGGGTGTCATCTGAAAAATGGTAACTTTTTTCTATTTAACATATAAATGTGTGAAATACGAATAAGATCATATTAAATATTTCAAAAGAGTACAATATAGTATTTGAAATAGTTTTAACGAAATTGAAGAAGAAGAAAAAAATTTGCACCATATTCTATGATATATCTATATTTTTCTCTAATAATCAACAATAACTTTCCTTATTTTAATCAGAATAATACTGATAAAAATAGCTAGACTTTTTCTTCTGTTATATTTCATGAATTAAAATAGAAAAACAAAAATGTTTTTTTTTGTTGAATATCTATAAATACTATCAGAGAATATGCCCACTTTTACAGCTGACAATTTTAGTTTAAAATGCATGAGTGAATTGAACTTTGAAATAAAATGATGAAAGAAAAACTAAAAAAAAAACAGTTTTTTTTATTCTACTAATTAGATTGTTGTCCAGAAAAAAAAAGATGACGATGTACAAATGGATATCTCTAAAAGATTAACTATTTTCCTCATGATTAATATCTTTTATTTATTATTATTTAATTCATCTAGTTGATAGGAGTTAGTCATATATTTTATTCTTTTTAACTCACTTGTATTAAACATGATTTGATTGAACGACACTGGAATCATTACATATTTCTTGTCGATCAATTCATGATAATGATCTATCTAATTGAGATCAGAGTAAGTAAATTTTTTTTCAATATATCACCACAACTGTTTTAAACAAAAATGGGCATTAAAAAAAAAGAGAAGAAGCGATTTTGAATAATAGAATGGAATGAAGAGAATAAAGATCGCAAAAAAAGAACATCAACGGAACGGGCTGATGCCCATGTCTCTAGAATAAAATGAATAAAATACAGAAAAAAAATACAACAGAAGCATTTTAACTTAAGTTGACATACGGATGCATTTATTTTTCAGTTTTTTTTAAAAAAAAAAAAAAATATAAAAAAGAAAGAAGAATTATAGATTGAAAGAAGGATCGACTATATTGAGGTAAGTATGTTTCGAAGACAAGAAAGAAAGTGGATGATGATGATGATGATGATGACGAGTGATACGTATGAATGATTAACAGACAGAATGAGACTTCTATGTTCGTTCTTACTTTACAAAGGGATCACATCAAATATAAAAATAGACTCGAGATTCAAAAAAAAAAAAAAAAAAAATGAAAAATAAAAAGAAGTAAAATAAATGAAAGTAGTAGACATAATAACACCATCGTTTTAAGAAAAGCTGCTAAAAAGATCTTGATGGTTGAAGAATAAAAAAAACTGAGAACTATAATCAAAAAAAATGAAGAAAGAAAAATCCTAATGTATTATTCTACTCTCTCAGTTTCTCATTTTTAAAATTCAAAAAAAATTAGCGGAAATTTGCTTGAAAGAATTTTAAAAATGTTAGAAGGGTCTTTTTTAGTATTATCTATTTCTTCTACTTTTATATACAATTATCTTAAATAACGAAACACATTAGAGATAAACGTTTTATTGTTGTGTGTCTTTCGATATATAACCGGAAGAAATTAGAAAAAATAAAAAAAAAAATAAAAATATTATAACTATAAACCTATAGAGCTCATTTAAGTGATTCTTACCTTGATGATGTGTTGAAATAAAACAAAATGAAGACGTATTCATTTTACTTATTAGATTTGGAAACATATCTTTTTATTTTTCATAGATAACAAAACAAAACAAAACAAAAAAATAAAGATTAGTTAAAATATCTAATATAAATCTATCTGTAATTATTTATTAACCATGTTTTCTAGTTATGCTTGTCTACTTTATGTCTTTTTTTTTTTCACCTATTCTTATGATATCATCAGACAAGAGTATCATGCGCTCTTGCGTGCAAACAGTAATCAACGCACTTTTATTTTTGTTAAAATTAAATTTTTTTTTTTTTTAGCGATTAATATAATAACTCATTTTTTTTTCTCGTTTTCTACTTCTACTGTTATCTTGATGTGTGAAAATTAAACGATAATATAGGAAATAAGTGACAATTTCAATTTTTCATTAAAAAAAAAAAAAAAAATAAGTTACCTTAAAAAAAAAACTAAAAAAAAGAGGTAATAATTAAATTTAACAACACAAACATTTCACTACTTCTCTATATAATGAGTTTTTCTACAAAAAGTTCGATAATGATCATATAGAAACAGTGAGAAAAATGAAAATTAAAAATAAATCTGCCACTAAGAATCTAAAACATTTTTTTATAGTTACAATTAGACAAGAAAATACTTTCAACTATAAATATATAGTTTTTCAAAACGGTCGTATGTTACTGTTTTTTTAAATTTTTTACTATTTATTATCTAAAAATTTACTTAGAATTTAAATTTAGAATAATAAACTAACTTTAGACACTAAATCGTCTACATTCAGATTATTTTATATGAGAATTATTCGATTGTTTTTTTTTTCATTTTTTGTTCTTACATACAAATAGATAAAATGCTCAATAAATAACGTGAAAATGATTTAAAAATATATTTTAATCTATTTCTGAAAAACATTTATTCTTATATTTAAAAATTTATAATTTTTCTTTATTTCTCTCTAATATCGTTACTCTCCATCATATAGACTACTTTAATTTTATAGCCCAAAACAAAAAAG